AAGACGTTTTATCTTGGTAACTGCAGACAGTAAAGGTGTTCGAACAGGCCTTCGGCTTCCATATCCCATACGATGCAGTATATGGCTAATTTGCCTACAAACATCAGGTGGTCATAATAGTCTGGCCACTCACGTTCAAATATATCCCACATTCAAAGGCTGTTAAATCGCATTGTTTACCCATATCTTCAGGAAAAAAATCATTTCTAACGTGCTTCCCTATTTATAATGGTCTGGCCCTCTAGCAACTTCAGCATGAAATTATATAGCTAATTTGCCCACAAACGTCAGGTGGTCATAATAATCTGGCCACTCAGTGTACATTAGCCATCTTTACTTTTCAGGTACTTATCACAACATTGACAAATAGTTGGCACATGTGTGTTTTTTAAAACCTGAACAGTAAATACTAAAATGCCAGAATGACCTACTACATTGTTATTTTTATTGGTAGAGAATTGTCATTAATGGAAATATCCATGTAATGATGGGCAAAAATAAAATTATCCATTCTTTTTCTTTATAACAAAGGAGGACAGTATACATAGTTTATAAGTAATTGGGTCAATTTGGTCCTTTATTCAAGTTAATTGTCTTGAGTAAAAATGCCTCTATGTTTTAGGCAAAACTCAGAAAAATATTTCTATGTCTTTCCCTGAGGAGGGCATTCTTGTTAATTTGAAGACAACAGTGTTTATTTCTCAGAATACAAATCTTTTCTCTTTATTCTGCTTCACGGCAAGTTTAACATCACATTGGCCATATTAGAAAAGTAGTTTAAAACTGTAGAATCCAGTTGTTGGGATTGAGCTCACATCATTGTGTTTTGTAGATGTATTTTTCACTTTTAAGCAGAACAAGTACCAAAGTTTGTTAAAAGAATGGTGGCTTTAGTTATACTGAAATATATATATATACTGTACTAAATTATATATATCTGTATAATACTATACTAAATTATAGGCTTATTATACTATTATACTATGGTTAAAGATGAGGTTCAACTTGTGACCACTGGGAGTCACTGTGTAGCTGTCACAGCTGAGGAGGCTCCCACACCATCCACATCAGCTTCCTGGGCTATAGGGGAGATAGCACACTCATCTCTTTCCCCCAGCCACTGGTGTTTATCCATTTGCCAACTGGTAGTTATTAAGTGCCCACAGAGAGCTGGGTGCTGTGTTAAATTAAGCAACACAGTGAGAACAAGCTGTTTGTGTGGCTAGCCATGTTTTCCTGCCCCACCCCCACACCAGGAAGAGCTCTTCAAACCTCCCTATGATTTATCAGTTTCATTTATTTATTATTACTTATATACATTTTTTTTTGAGATGTTCTCTTTCTTACCAGGGGTCCTTGACAGAGAGGTTTATATCTTTATTTGTAACTGCTTATCCCACTGGCTAGTGGTATGTAGTAGTAAGTAGATCCTTCTTACATATTTGAGTGACTGGATGCTACTTCAGTTATTTTCTTATGTCCTTTTGAATTTGCTGTTATTCCTTCTTGACTGCACTACTACCTAGTTATTGACACCTACCCTGCATTACTCTCTGCTCATTAAGCTCTAATGTTTTTGCAATAATGAAATGGTTATTGGTGAAGTTTTCTCTCATGTGTATTGTTGTTCCTCCTTCATTCTGCTGTAACATTTGAGAGGTCTTTTTTTATACCACATAAAAATTAATGACATTAGCTATCAATGGCAGTATTAACAGTTTCATTTTTGTAAATGGGGACAACAATAAACAATATATATGATAAGTTATGTGGCATTGGAGAACAGCATTAGTTACTAGAAAGAATACTAAATTCACATTAGAATTTCGTATTTTTCACCAATGAACTCCTTCAATATGGAGAAATTATATTAACTCTCACTATTTCCCTTTCTCCATTTACAAAATCCATGTGACTTTTGTTAAATGCATTTGGAGGCTAGGTGACGTACTGAGTTGAGGGTTGTACAAAGTTGAATTCAGTTGTGGGTGGAAGCTGGAAATAACATAAAACAAACTGGATCAAAAAAGAGGACATATGTAATACTTTGAACAGTAAAGATAAATTAAAAAACAATAACAAAACAAAATGAACTTTAAAGGTGACACTTAAGTGTCAAGTAAGTGGAAGAAACCATAGGAATTTAGATCTGTGAATGATTCCATTTAGATTCGATCTGTCAAGATTGGCTTCATAAAATTGGATTTTGCCTTTGGCTTTGAAGTCTTGAGACAATCCTTTCCCTGGATTGGAGAGTAGAGGATGTTTTTGGGAGAGATGTTCAGGTATGTCTTGACAGTAATGACGAAAATATATGTCTAGAGGAGAGCATGCCTAGGAAAAAGTAGGAAAAACTATTAAAAAGGTAGAGAATCCATTTTGTGAAGTACCTTGAGAATATTTCTCATCCTGAATTTTGGGACCATAATGGATCATGCTTAAAACTGGGTCTGGAGGTTAACTCCTCATTTTATATCCTACTCTTCTTGCTAGATCAACTGGATAGTCTATTTGAGTATTACTGGAGTTACTGTATCCAGTAATTCTTTTTCCCTGACACTGGTTATTACTAAGAATATAAGTTGGAGGATCTCTGCTTTCTTGGAGAGAAGGTGACATTTCATCCAAAGAAATTTTGCCTTTTCACATGGCGACTTCTGGGATATATTAGGCCCAAAGGTGACTCAGTGTTTGGGCACCTGATTTGTTACAAAAAGAGCATAGAGCTCCAGGCCATATCATGGATTTTCAGTTTTCCCTTTTGCTTCCATTAAAAAAGAAATTATCCGGGAAAACTTTCTGCCAGACTAAGAGCCACAGATGCTGGGCTTGTATGATAAAATACTGAGGCCCTTAAGGATAAATTGGTGTCAGAAAAGTTGCTTGAGTTAATTATATTTGTATTTTAAAATGTTTTAATCATTTGATAAATAGAAAATGTGTGCTTAGGGTATAATTAATAACATAATTTTATTCCTATTCTAGTCACCTTTTTCTTACCTTCTATTTGCCATGCTATGTGTAAGGACTGCCAATTAAGAGGAACAATCCTTTATTCCCATAATTGAGAACCAACCTTTATTCCCATAAATGCATAAAGATTTCTGTTCCTGTTAATGCCAATAGATTTTTAGTCCCATTAAGGGAAATGGATCTTTATTTTCATGAATGTTGTAGAATGAGATGGCTGGAACCTCACAGGTAATAAAGACCAGACAAGCTGATTAAATGAAGAAACCATAAAGAAAACAATTAATTTATGATAATGATTTTTTGTTTGTCCAAAAAAAATTCTCTATAATTAATTTTTCTCTCATGGGAGTGATAGAGAAGAAATTTATTTAAAAAATGTGTCTGTGTTTCTGATTTTAGGCTATGAATTTTATTATTTTATAAGATTACCTCATAAAGTAAGATTGCCCTGAACTCTCACTTAACTATAAAGCACATTGTTAAAGCT